AGTATGTGGTTAATAAATAAATAATTTTTTAAGTGACTGGAATGTAGCTCAGTGGTCCTGAGTTCAATCTCTAGTACCACCAAATCCCAAAACAAAGCACATGTTTATCTCATTTGATTCTATTTCTAGAAATTATACCTAAGAGTAAGAATTGTGTTCAACAAATCTATGTATAGGGATCTTTATGAAAGAATTTATGATAGTGAAAAATTGCCAACAACCTATATGTCCAATTAAATAAGTTAGCTGAAGTATCATGAATCTATATAATAGAATTTTAGGCATTCTATTAAGAATCATGTTTTCATGCCAGGTGTGGTGGCGCACGCCTTTAATCCCAGCACTTGGGAGGCAGAGGCAGGCGGATCTCTGTGAGTTCAAGGCTAGCCTGGTCTACAAAGTGAGTTCTAGTCCAGCCTCAGCTGGACTAGAGACCTTGTCTCAAAAAGACCAAAAAAAAAAAAAAAAAAAGAATCATGTTTTTAAGGGAAAAAATGTGTGGACATCAGATAACATTTCCTCACAATACAATATTAAGTGAAAAAAAAATTGATGTGGCTGGTATGTAACTCAGCAACAGATTGCGTGTCTGGGTTCAACAGGGGAAGGTGGGTTGGTTCACTTTGGGAGCCATGATTAATAAATTACTTTGATTTTTTTCTTCTTTCTGCTTGCTTTTATTTTGTAACAGCTCTATAATGAACAAAAAGTACATTTCTAATTAGAAAAAAATGAGTGTTGATGTGCTTTTACAATCAAAGTACAGTTTTTTAGGGTTTATGTAGCTGATTGGAAATGAACTATAGAATTTAGACCTACTAGGGCCTTAAAGCTGAACAGGGAAATTGAGGGATTTAAAATGTAGTAATATTTAACCTTTATCTAGTGCTTACCATGTGCCAGTAGTCTTCTGTTATTCAGTTACTTGTTCTTATATTATTCTTAGAAGAGCTGGTCTACTTTTATCCCCACTTTATACATGAGGAAAGAGGCTTAGAGAGATTGACTTGGCTAAAATTACATGATGGAACTGGCTTTTGAACTGAGTTCTATCTGAGCCCAAATTTTAAAAATATTGTATGTATTATTTTATGTGTATTAGTGTATTGCCTCATGAGTGTATTGTATGTGTGTATGAGTGCACACATGTCATACAGTGCCCATGGAGGTCAGAAGAGGGCATCAAATTCCTCTGGAACTGTAGTTATGGACAGTTGTTAGCCACTGTGTGGGTGCTTGCTGGGCATCAAACCTAGGTCTTCTGCAAGAGCAGCCAGTGCCCTTTACCACTGAACCATCTCTCCAGCCCTGTGACCCCAAAATTCTTAACCAGTGTGGATATTGTGTTTTTGAATTAAAGCCACTATATAAGAACTGATTTCCATTTGTGGCCAATATTTGTTGTTCTTCCAAATACATTGTAAAATTACAAGTTAATCCAGGAGAATATTTTTTCCAGTTCTGATAAGATAGTTTCATTATAAAGTAATCAATGGATGAAAATAGTTTAGGCTCTTTTTAACAATACAGTAGCTTTAGCCACATGTGATGTCAAATACCTATAACCCCAGAACTCAAGCGACAAAAGCAGAAAAGATCGAGAGTTCAAGGCTAGCCTACAACGTTCAAGGCAAGGTTGGGCTACATAGTTAGACTGTGACCCCCTAAATAAATGAGACCCTAAATTAAACAAATAGCAGGTTAAATGTTCTATAAATACTGTCAGGAGTTTAAAACACTATTAAATCAGACAGCTCTTTCAAATCTCTGCTTCCCAAAGCTCAGGGACATTGCAGAAGAGGCAGCGGAAAGATTCTAAAAGCTCTTAGATTCATGTGTGCTGCCATCCAGACAGCTGGTCATTTATTCATATGAACTCATAGTGATGGTGACAGCATGCGTAAGTCTTATGCAAGCTCAAATCAGACAAAATCCCAGCATCGATATGGGGAAGTGGGTAAGAAATTCCAAACCAACCTAAGGAACTTTTGGTGTTTTGACTGCTGGGAGCCCTGGGACTCTTAGTGGACCCAGTGTGATAGATCTACACTGAAGGACACGGGGGGGACACAAATCATACTCTATAGGCCATATTATACATATAAGAAATTTCACTGACTCGGACACAGGCAGTAGGGGAGGTACAAAGAGGAGAGTGGATCTAAATGCCATCAAACTATATTGTACTAAATCATAATTCAATAAAAATACTTTCTTTATGAAAAAAAAGTATTACCACAGGTATTTAATATCTGTGTACAAATTAAAGGTACAGAGTTATCAAAGTTCTGTTAGACTATAAAAATAAAACTGAACTTTTTAAAATGTCTTTGGTTTCTAGGTTATACTATGCTTATGAGAAAATGTGACAAATGTATAATATAATGTATACACACATATACCTTGTGAGAATATGTTCTAACAAAATAGAATGAGGGCCAATAAGATGACTCAGCAGGCCATGCAAACCTGATGACGAGCTTGAATTAATTTATAAATGTGATTACAATTTTTTAAAATTTTGCCTTCTAATTCTGTATCTTTTCTTTTAAGCACCGAATGTTGTCCCGACAAGAAGAACTTAAAGAAAGAGCAAGAGTTCTGCTTGAGCAAGCAAGAAGAGATGCAGCTTTAAAGGCAGGGAGTAAGCAGACCGCCAGCACAGCTCCCCCACTCTGCAGCAGGCAGCTGAATGATGTGAGGAACATTGGTTGCAGAAACCAAAAGTTATTCATTATAATCATAAATATAACATGGCTAAAGGGGGGTTTGCTCATATTTTTGTTAAATTATCTTTCCATAGACCTCATCATGGGTATGTGGTACACTTACTCAGCTGATGAATCATCCTATAGGATCATGTTGTCATTATTTCTAAGTAGCATTGTTAACTCTGAGAAAAAGTAAAATCCTAAAATTTTATAAATTCCACATTATAAGTAATTTTTTGTTAATTGACATTTTATCACTGACTATTTAAGATTATATTATCTCCATAGAATTTTATTATAAACATCAAAATCAGAATAGAATACCTATTGGGTTTTTTGTTGTTGTTGTTTTGGTCTTTTTGAGACAAGGTCTCCCTGTGGCCCCTGCTAACCTGGAACTTACTAGGTAGAGCCTTGAATTCACAGAGATCTACCTGCCTCTGCCTCCTGAGTGCTAGGAGTAAAGACATGCACCTCCACGCCTGGCTGAGAGTACCTATTGTTTATTGAGTATCTACCATGTATATTTTATATAACTCCATGAAAATATTCAAACTAATTTCCAGATAACAAGCCTGAAACTGATAGGCACAGTACACTTTACAAAGTCCCCCAGTCTGTAATGGTGAATCTAGGATTTGAACCTGAGCATTATTAGTTTCCAGAGACCATGCATTCTCCTGTTATAAACCTCCATCCCTATATTTTATTCATGCTTATTTTTTGTCTAGTGCTTCACAAATAATAATAAACATAAAACAACAGAAGCCCTTAAAAATAGGAAGACATGAACCTTGTAATGAATTTGAAAACTATGACAATCCTACCTGTCACCAAACTCATACATAAAATCACATGATATTTTAGGACTTTGTAGATAAGTTTAATGAGTCAAAGGATTATTTTAACATTAGGTCTTTATGAAATAATGGAATTTAAAATCAGTTTGCTAGGTCATCATTTTTAATAAAAAAGAATAAACCAGACTACAATAGTGGGGGGTGTGTAACTTTTTTCCAGGTATATGGGTCTGTGTGCTTACTTGACTTGAAGTAAAATGTATTTTTTTATTTTTAAATATTATTTATTTTATGTGTATAAGTGTATTGCTTGCATGTGTGTAGGTGCACCCATGTTGTGCAGTGCTCATGGAGGTCAGAAAAGGGCATCAAATCCCCTGAAACCAAAGTTATGGATGGTTGTTAGCCACCATGTAGGTGCTGGGAAGTGAATCTGGGTCCTCTGCCAGTGCTCTTAATGCTGTGTCATCTCTCTAGCCCCAGTAAAATGTATTTTTAACTGTATATAATGGTCAAAAAAGTTTGAAAAATACTAATCTAAGCCTGGTGCAATAGTTCATGCTTGTAATCCCAACATCCAGGGGGCTGAGGCAGGAGGATTTTTGCAATTTTGCCAGCCTGGATTGGGCTGCATAGTGAGTTCCAGGCCAGCCTTGGCTAGAACAACAGAAATAATCAACAAAGAAAACCATGTAGCCTTTATATTAACTTTTTCAATGCCTAACCGTCTCTTACATCATCTATTTTTAGACTGATTACTTCCAAATATTTGTATCATATGTCTAAACCAAGTCTATTTATAGTGACAGAAAACATTAGGTTGCATTTCAGATAGACTTTATATTCTGGTGGGAAAAGAGACAAAGTGGTTACAGTGTGTAAAGTGTGTGATACAGAGATGATTTGAGAAGGTAGAAGCTCGAAGACCTCAAAGCTGACACTGAACTGAGGTTTGGTGGATCAGAAGGAGCCATTCAAGCAGGAACCACAGAAAGAGTACTTTAAAAGAAAGGTTATTTGTTGATACTATATTTGTGAAAAATTGTTTCATAGTCTTTCAAGTTCTAAAAAATATAAATTTTATATTTAAATTTAACAAATTTTAAAATACAGTTAAATTCAAAGACACACTATGAATTGATTTTAAGTTCAGAATACTTGATATTTAAATTATCTGTCTGCAAAATAGATTTTAAAAATTATTTTACCTATCTGTAAATTTTACATATCTTAATAATTATCATCTAATGTTTATTAAGCACTTGGTTCTGTGTCATGAGTCTAAGTGCTTTTAAATAGATTTCCTTATTTAATCATTATAGCAGTTTTATAAGAAGAGCATCATCATCTTCATTTTACAATTGAGGAAATAGACACAGAAAGAGGTACAAGAACTGCTCGTTGTCACAATAATGAGTAGCAGCAAGGACCTGAAGCTAGGCAGCCTCAACTTCAGGTCATTGAAAATAATATTTTAATTATTTAATAATAATGTTTTTAAAATATCAAACTCGTTTAATTTTTGAACGAATGTTAAGGACATGGGAAAATACCTACAATCTCATTTTCTATAAAAAGAAGTATGTGAAATAGCACATCATAGGAACTCCATTTTGAAATTCTATATATGTATTGGAAAGGACAGAACTGAAAAGTCATGACTGTTACCACTGTTTACCTCTTGGGGTACAACAACAAATGGATTGTAGGATTTGTTTCCTTGATTCTTTTTGTTTTTTAGAAGAACGAAGTGATAATTGATAATCATGGTATCCCACAAAGTATTATTTCTTTGTGCCTATTATGACTTGAGTTGGCTGTCTTATATTCATATGTTAGTAATTATTTTTCCTTAGAAAGGGAAGCTCTAGGGGCTGACAAGATGGCTCAGAAGGTAGAGGTGCTTGTTCCCAAGCCCGATGACCCACGTTTGATCCCTGAAACCCACATGGTAAAGGAGAGAACTGATTTCCCCAAATGTTGTCCTTTGACCTCTATATGCATGTCATAACTCATGTTCCCTCCCACACCCCCCCAAGTAAATAAATAAATTATAAAAAATAGTTTTTAAAGAGCTGGTCTGTGACATAGCTGGTTGGCCATGTGCCAGTTTTGTGCTTTGTTACATTCATTTCCCACTTAATCAAAGAAGTCCTGTGTTGCTTAGAAGCTGTTCTTTAAGTAATCCCAAAGATATTTCTGTACACTCCTTTCAAGTTCTCTATTGCTGCATAAACACTGCAAATATATTAACATAAAACTACCATTTAATTCTGCTCAGTGTCTCCATGTTAGATTCTGTTAGTTAGAACAAGCTAGAGATGGTTTGTTTCCTCACAGTGTGTGTGCGGCTGGCTTTCATCCAAGATCTCTGATGAACACCATTTGGAACACCTCTGCATGGCTTCTATATATGTTCTATTTCTCTAGTTTGAGCTTCTTCATAGCAAGGTGGCTAGCATCCTAGAGGGTGTCCCCAGAGAACACAGCAGAAATACATGGCACTCTTATGATCTAGGTGTCCTAGTTTACTTTCAGTTGCAGTGATAAAACAGTGACCACAAGTGACTTGGGGAGGAATGGGTTTATTTGACTTACAGGTTACAGTCTATCATTGAGGGGAGCCAATACAGGACCTGAAGCAGGGACCAAAAAAGAATACTGCTTACTGGCTTTCTTCCTCTAGCTTGATCAATTCCTGTTTTTATATAGTCCAGGCCCATTTTCCTAGGGATAGCACCACCTACAGTGGGATGAGCCCTCCTATATCAATCAGCAATCAAGAAAATGCCCACAAGTCTGGGCATAGTGGTGCATGCCTGTAATCCCATCACTCAGGAGGCAGAGGCAGAGACAGGTAGATCTCTGAGTTTGAGGCTAGTCTCCGAGTTTGAGGACAGCTTGGTCTATGTAGTGAGTTTGAGACCAGCCAGGATTACATAGTTATGCCCTGTCTTAAAAATAAAAGGAAGAAAATTCCCCACAGACATGCCCACAGGCCAGTCTCATGGAGGAAATTCCTCCTCAGTTGAAGTTCCCTCTTCCTAAGTGTGTCAAATTAACAACCAAGATTAGCCATCATGATAGTTTACTTTTTAAAAACAAAATTGCTTGTTCTTGTGGGAAGGAAAAATTATTAACCACACTCAGTTATGAACACATGCAAAAATTGTTAAGCATAGCCAGACACAGTACCACAAATCTATGTCCCATTTTACATCAGAAGCTGATGCAGAAATATCACTCAAGCCCAGAAGTTTTAGACCAACCTGGGCAACATAGCAAGACTCTGTTTCAACAGAGGGGGGAAAAAAAAATCATAGGGGCTAGAGATGTAGCTCATTGATAGAGTGTTTGCTTTTACCTGAGCTTGCAAGAGACCCTGGGTATGATCCCATGCACTGCATAAACCAGGTGTGGTGGGGCACAGCTGTAATCTCAGTTCTCAGGAGATAGAGGCAAGAGGACCAGGTGTTCAAGGTCATCCTCAGCTACACAATGAGTTGTGAGTTTGAGGCCATCCTAGGTTTCATGAGACTATCCCCCAAACAAATCAAAACAAAACATTAACAATTCAATAGTATATAAAATATGATCATAGCATGCTTTAGATTTCTTCTAGGAATGGGAACTTGTTTAATACTTTAATTAAAAAATTAAAATACATAAATAAAAACAAAAGTTACGCAATATTAACAGAATGAGGTGGTGCATTTAGGGGTGGGGTGGGGTGGACCTGCTTTTATTTAACCGAAGTCTTTTGATTTCTCCAGAGAGGTGGCATTTTAATTTTTTATTTTGTTATGATAGGAACACTTAACATGAGACCCACCATCTCAATTTTTAAGCCTATAAAACAGTATTAATGACTATAGGTACAATGCAGATCTACTCATTTTGTTTACCTGAAACTTTATACCTGTTGATTAGTACCTTCTTGTTTCCCCTTTTTAGCTCCATAACACTATGCCCACCTTACATAGGTATGTATTTTATGAGAACAATGAAGTTATTTTCCAAGAAAATGTATTATTTTTTTCCTTTGAACCATGAGTGGATATTGATATTTTCCACACTTTTTTCTGTACCTATTAAAACTGTTAGCTTTTTCTTGTTCTACTAATACTGTTGATCACATTATTCTGTGCTGGTCTCATGAATTTGATTCTTAAGTACCTCACTAATA